AACAATGATGGCTGCAACCAAAAAATAGCCGGGCATTGTGGCGGGTGCCTGTGGTCCCAGCTACTTGGGAGGCTGAGGCAGGAGACTCGCTTGAGCCCAGGAGTTGGAGGTTGCCGTGAGCTGTGATGCCAGAGCACTCTACCTAGGGGGATAGCTTGAGGCTCTGTCTCAAAAAAAAAAATGCTGAAGTTAATTTTCTTTTCTTTTTTTTTTTTTTTTGAGACAGAGCCTCAAGCGATCCCCCTGGGTAGAGTGCCGTGGCATTACATCTAATAGCAACCTCCAACTCCTGGACTCAAGCGAGTCTCCTGCCTCCACCTCCCAAGTAGCTGGGACCACAGGCGCCCGCCACAACGCCCGGCTATTTTTTGGTTGCAGCCATCATTGTTGTTTGGCGGGTCCGGGCTGGGGATTCGAACCCACCACCTTGGGTGTACGTGGCTGGCGCCTTAGCCGGTTGAGCTATAGGCGCTGAGCCTGAAGTTAATTTTCATAGCATCTGCCCTCAACTTTCTCCGATTGATAACCAGTCTCTGCTATGCAATTCCTTTTGGTAAATGCAAATTTTTAGTTTTTATGTTGTTTGCTTGCAACCCTTTCTGGTCAGTTTACTTAGGTAACTCAATCACTTACGGATGAAAGCCCTCGTTTGCTTGCTCAGAAGGCTCGGAATGAGGGGACAGAAGAATGAGTCCAGGAACGGTTTGTGACAGATATTAGACCTTTGAGCTGCACGATTCTTGACATTGTTCCCAGCAATACAAATGTGGCTGAGTGGTCTGGACGCAGCAGAATCTAATCCCAACCTGCCCAAGGGAGGATTAATGACTCAGAATGTACCTTGGACCTGATGATATGAGGAAAAGCTTCTTGCCTGTGTTCCTGGATGATTTTTTTTTTTTTTGCAGTTTTTGGCCGGGGCCAGGTTTGAACCCACTGCCTCTGGTATATGGGGCTGGCGCCCTACTCCTTTGAGCCACAGGCACTGCCCTGTTCCTGGATAATTTTGTCTGTTACTTGCTCTTTTCAACGGGTAAAGTCATCTTGGACAAGGTGCACACGGCATCTGCTCAAAATAGCTCTGGGTTCAAGAAGCAAGGAATTGAAGAGAGGACTTCGCCCAGCTCCCACCCCGACGCAGAGGCCCTCGGAAGCCACCCTGACTCCTCCTGCATTTCCCTCCTACACACAGGGGACAGGCTGAGGTTAGGGCTGGCTCCTGTCCCTGAGCTCCAGGGGGAAGGCAGCCTAAATGAGGCCAGGGGACTTGAGGCTGCAACTTTGGAGGGGTTAGACTAAAAGATGAACGCCACACCGAGTTGCCAGGAATTTGCGAAGGCAGTGGCATTTGGACACGTGGAATTTAGACCTGCCAACAAAGGTGGGAACATTTATTTCAGATAGAAAGGAATGCCGGGTAGTTATGTGGTTATTTACTTGTACTGTCTTTAGGTTCTGTATAATTTTCCTTCTTCTTCTTCTTCTTTTTTTTTTGTAGTGACAGAATCTTACTTTATCGCCCTTGGTAGAGTGCTGTGGTGTCACACAGCAACCTTCAACTCCTGGGCTTAGGCGATTCTCTTGCCTCAGCCTCCCAAGTAGCTGGGACTACAGGCTCCTGCCACAATGCCCAGTTATTATTTTTTGTTGTTGCAGTTTGGTGAACCTGTCACCCTTGGTATATGGGGCCAGCGCCCTACCCACTGAGCCACAGGTGCTGCCCAGGTTCTGTATAATTTTCTATATCCTTCACAAGATTATTAAAATTTTATTTATTTATTTTTTGAGACAGAGTCTCACTCTGTTGTCCTGGGCAGAGTGCGGTAGCATCATAGCTCACTACAACCTCAGACTTTTGGGCTTGCACAATCTTCTTGCCTCAGCCTCCCAAGCAGCTGAGAGTACAGGAGCCTGCTAGTTTTTCTATTTTTAGTAGCGGTGGTGTCTCCCTCTTGGTATTGGACTCCTTTTTTTTTTTTTTTTTTAAATTACAAAGCTACTTTCAATACTTTGGGGTGAGCCCCACAGGAATAAAAAACACTGGGAAGGGGTAACCCCCTCACCTCCAGGAGTGGTCCAGGGGGAGAGAGGCTACCTGAGGGAAAGGAAGCACAAAAGGGACCCGCTGCAGACTCAGGGCAAAGGGAATGCCATCGGTGCTGGGACCTGTGAGCACTACAGGAGGAAACGCGAGCGCGGTGGGACTGGCTCCAGGCACACAGGCGAAGGGCAAGAGGGGTGGACACGAAGCCACAAAGCTACCTGGGTTCCTCCTTCTTCTCGTTTGCCTTTTTCTGCTTCTGCTGCATGATCTCTGAGTCCCTCTGCTTGCGGGCAGCAGCAGAAAGCCCGTCATCTCGGCGCTTTCCCTTAACCGAGTCGCTCTGCTTTTTCATATTCTTCTGGCGGGCGAGCTCATGCTGGTTACCGCGGGTCATGGCGACTGGCAGCGGCTCTGGCCTGCCTCCGTTGCGCTCCCTCGTTCTGTCCGGGTATTGAACTCCTGAGCTCAAGCAATCCACCTGCCTTCACTTCCCAGAGTGCTGGGATTACAGGTGTGAGCCACTGCTCCCAGCCCCAAGATCATTAAAATTTTAAATGCAGGGGTCTTAGAGTGATTGTTTCTCAATGTATTCTATCATGGTGGTGGACAGGCAGAGTACGCTCGATAAGGGCATGCTTGCTGATTGGCTAGGTTTTCATATTTTCACCTGATGCAATGGCCTTTCCTCTGCTCACAGCTGACCTCAACTTTGACTTGCTGGGGCAAACTGCAGCCAGGGATTGATTGCGTCTCACTGCAACAACTCCTGTGTGATTGGCCAGGAACATTAATCTGTTGCAAACCCGTGTAGATCCTGCTTCTTTTGCCCCTGCAGGTGCTGGGCGCTGTCAGACGCCACTGACTCCAAGTCAATTGCTGAGCCTCAAATTGATTGGGCGAGTCATTGGCAATCTCTGAATGATTGAGCCAGTCACCTGGAATGTGATTTTTGAATTGAAAGTTTATATATTGTTTGGAAGGAACATGGTAGTCACGGCTAAAGAGGCAGAGAGGGAGAAATGGTAGAGCTTGGCTCATGGAGTGGGGGCGTGCGGAATGGAGTCTTTACCCTTAGGCAGAAGAGCAGAGCTCAGCACATAAGCATTTCACTCTGATGCTAGTCTAAAATCAAGCTGCAGCCCGATGAGCTGGGAGGTGGTGTACTTTCTAGTTGTTGATGTGTTTCGTTTAGAAGAGAGGAGGTAGAAATGAGCTCAAGCTACCACCCCAAGGAGTTGCGAGTGGGTAGGCAGATCTGAGCCCTCCTGAAGTGGCCCTTGCGATGGAGACTGTTGGCCCTCTTGCTTTAAGGCTTGGCACTAAGGAAATGGAAATTTCTACTGGAATGAAGTGAGACAGACGGTAAAGTTGTTATCTGTGCTTAGTACCTTAAAGTGCTAATAATTAACTTGTTAGATCACTTTTGTTCCTTAGCAGGCATGGAGATGGTGGAGGGTGGAGGGAATAAAGGGAAACAAACATTCATCAAGGACTTAAGATGTGCCAAGCGCTGGGGCAGGAATAGCACCCACATATCTCATCAAATCCTCACCACTCTGGGACAGAAAAGCTTTTGATCTCAGGTGCAAAGCTGGCCGAATTGACAGCACTTCACGGTGGACCAGCCCAAGCCCCTCCTGTTTCACTTGTTTTTATGCCATTTTGTCTTATTCTCCATGTCCATTCCTCAGTCTCCCAATGCCAACATTCTAATATGTTTGTGTATGTCCTTTGTATCACTTTTGTGTGTTTATATTTTATACACAGATGGCATGGTAGATTCCATCCTGCTTTCTTCCTTCTTTTTTCCGTCAACCACTACTTAAAACAACTTTTATTAGGCAAAAAATCGGAACTTTTTTTTTTTTGAGACAGAGTCTCACTATGTTGCCCTCAGTAGAGTGCTGTGGCATCACAGCTCACAGCAACCTCCAACTTCTGGGCTTAAATGATTCTCTTGCCTCAGCCTCCCAGTAGCTGGGACTACAGGCGCCCACCACAATGCCTGGCTGTTTTTTGGTTATTGTCGTTGTTGTTGAGCAGGCCCTGGCCGGGTTTGAACCCACCAGCCCTGGTGTATGTGGCCGGCGCCCTAACCACTGAACTACGGGCCTAAAAAATCGAAACATTAAAAAAGCAGAATGATATCATGAAGTGTACTGTACTTATCACTCAAAGTCAGGTGCAAACTTGCGGCCGATTCTCTTTCATGCATACCCCTGTTCATTCCCACTTCTCCCAGATTACTTTGAAATAAATTCCAGAATCATACTATGTCATCAGTAAGGATTTTGGGGAAAAAGTATAAAAAAAAAAACCATGAAAGGATTTTGGTGTGTTCTTTTAAAACGTAAGAATTTTTTATTTAGAATACATCATCATTGTATCATATTACCATACATAAATATTAGAAACAATTACTATCATCACTTAGTCAACTGATGTTCAAATTTTATCAACTGTCTCATCATTTTTTGGCAGTTATTTGAATTAAGATTCAAATAAGATTTGTACCTTATGGTCGGTTGATGTGCCTGAAGTCTCTTTTAATCGTGGGTTTGCCTGTACTCCTTTGCGTCTTGCAACTTTATTTATTGAAGACCAGGTAACTTATATTTGTGAAGGTTTCTAGAGTCTAGATTTTTCTTTTCTTTCTTTTTTTTTTTAAGAGCCAGACTCTCATTTTGTCACCCTTGGTGGAGTTCTGTGTCACAGCTCACAGCAAACTCCAGCTCTTGGGCTTAGGCGATTCTCTTGCCTCAGCTGCCCGAGTTCCTGGGACTACAGGTGCCTACCGCAACGCCCGGCTATTTTTTTGTTGCAGTTTGGCCAGGGCTGGGTTTGAACCTGCCCCCCTCGGTATATGGGGCCGGCACCCTACTCACTGAGCCACAGGCACTGCCCAAGTCTAGATTTTTCTAAACGTATTCCTGTGCTGCTTTTTTTCTTGTTTTCATGTCTGACAGGTAACAGGCTGATGTCATAACAAGATTTAAGGGAGGCACATGTCACATGTGAGTGGGAACCCCCAATCATCATGCTTGTGACCTGCAAAAGGATCATGTACTGCTGTTTAATGCGTTTCTCTGTCCTCTGTAAATTGGTACTTAGATATAAACACTTGGTCAGATGCAAGTTAAACTTTATTGGGGGGGCAAGAAATACTTAATAAGTGAAGTTTTGGATTTCCATCAAGAGGTGCCCAATACTTAGTCATTTTTCTATGTGACCTCAGCACATTGATGATCAAGGCCTACGTCCAGGAATTCTTTAGAGGTTACAGAATGTTTACACATAATTCTCTGACTCCTTTTCCATTGGTTAGCTGAGATGTTCTGTAAAGAGAAACTTTCCCTCACTAACTCTTTAGTAACGCTGAGATACAGTTCATATAGGAAAGGCAAGATAAATGCTTGATTCTTTCCTTTTATTTATCAATTTTCAAAATAATGAGCTCATTCTCTCCAAGATAAATAAGGTTTAAAAATAATATTACAGGGCAGTGTCTGTGGCTCAGTGGGTAGGGCACCAGCCCCATATACTGAGGGTGGTAGGTTCAAACCCTGCTCTGGCCAAACTGCAACAAAAAAACAGCCAGGCATTGTAGCAGGTGCCTGTAGTACCAGCTACTGAGGAGGCTGAGGCAAGAGAATTGTCTAAGCCCAAGAGCTTGATGTTGCTGTGAGCTGTGATACTACAGCACTCTACCGAGGGTGTGACAGAGTGAGACTCTGTCTCTAAAAAAAGAAAAAGAAAAAAAAAATTAATGTTATAGGCCAGGTCCTGTGGCTCACGCCTGTAATTCTAGCACTCTGGGAGGCCAAGATGGGCCTACTCTTTGCACTCAAGATTTTGAGACCAGCCTGAGCAAGAGAGAGACTATGTCTAAAATAGAAAAATTAGGGAGGCAAGTTATAAGATGGACTTTACCTAACAAATGCAATCAGTGTAGCCTGGTTTCTTGTACCCTCATGAATCCCCAACAATAACAAAAACTGAAAAAAAATTAAGACCCCCCCTGAAAAAAGAAAAAAGAAAGATTAGCCTGATGTTATGGCAGGTGCCTGTAGTCCCAGGTACTCAGGAAGCTGAGGCATGAGAATTGCCTAAGTCCAGGAGTTTGAGGTTGGTGTGAGCTGTGATGACACCACGGCACTCAATCTCAGGGTAACAAAGTGAGACTCTGTCTTGAAAAAAAAAATTATAATCCCATGTAATTTAAATATGTCTAAATATATTTGATTATATTAATTATTTGCAGCTTTTTTCCACATCTGTGGGAGGTGGACAGGGTGAATTCCTCACGGACCTTCCAACCCAGGGTAAACTGCCCAGTCGGGAATGCCTACTTGATCATCCCTGCATGGGAAATCAGCAGTGCAGGCAGCTGAGGCCATCAGCTAGGAGCTTAGGGTAGAGAAGCCGAGATGAGACTTGCTCTCCCCCCTCTGCTTCTCATTGCACCGTTATCTGGCCTCTTCAGATGTTCCATTACCCTATGTCCCTGTTTACCCTTTACCCAGCCCTCTGGGGGCTGTCATCTCCCCTCTCTCATTCTTGACCTTGACTGCTGACTACTGACTGCTATGCATCCTTGCACAGATACTCTGTTATGTACTCAGGAAAAAGACTCCGGGAAACAGGACAGGTGCTGCCTTGTTCTCCTGCTGCCCCCCGGGAACATGGAACAGTGTATTCCTTCACAGGCTTCTGGTTTTATGCACTAAGTTTGCTGTAAGTTTTATCCTTTCCTCAGCGCCGTCTTCCTTGCTGGCCACTGTCCCAGGTTGGGGTCAACTAGATGCCCAACATATATTGATGCTTTCATCATCCCGTCTTTGGCAGATGGGAGCCACTATAAATTGGTAAATTGTTTTTTTAGTGATTATTGATACCACCTTATTAGTCTTTGATAGCTTCTTTACTGGCTGGTGCAAGATGTTCCTGGATCATCGTGTACATTTTTTGCCTTGGACCTGGAGTCAGCTATTTCTCCAAGGACTTCTCATTCTGATTGGTGGAAAGTCGCACTTAGAAGCCACAGCCTGGGTGGTGGGAACACTGTCATTTTACACACTATCCACGTTGCTGTGTAGTCTTTGTTCTGTGGCTACACCGTAATGTGTAATGTCCTTCCTGGACGTGGCTCAAGGCCATTCATCTGGTGATGGAGACCACTCCCACTCCCTGCTACCCTATGCTACAGTGAGCATACCTTATCATGTCCCCTGTGGACCTCCGTGAAAATCCCTCTGAGATATAGGATATTCCAGAGTATCTGAGGCTTTTCCTTTTAAGGTTAGTAGTATTATCATCCCCATTTTTTTGGAAGGACACCAAGCAGCTGGGGGTGAGAAAGAGGCTGTGGAAGAGAGAACAGAGGAAGGCTCAGGAAAGGGAGAGGGGCCCAGGGCAGATGGGACAGCCTAGACCCCGTTTCCCTTGTGTCTCTCTAGAGTGGGAGCTGCTCACACCCTGTGATCCTGAAATCAGGGGTCCTGCAGGGAGAGCTGGGTAGGGGATGGCTCAGCATTCTTCTCTCAGCTCCTCGTGGCTTCCACACCTTTCTCTATGAGCCAAAATCTCCCCGTGTGTTAAGGCTCATGATATGGGAGTTTCTCATACCTCTCTGGTTGTGTTTGTCACCTATAATCTGGGGCTTCTTCTGTACCTACCCCCAGGCCTTTCACTGGTGACTCTGAGTCTTCTCCTCCTCTTCACCTCCTGCCAGCATCCCGGTTCCTCTCATTATGCACAGGGATGACCTATTCTGTGTGACAGCCTCTCAGCACATTGATCTCCTCTATGCCAACACTCTCTTCTATCTCACAGGCCTGTTGCCTTTGCCACACCATAAACAGAAGGCACGGGGGCGGGGGGGGTTGGGAGGGAAGGTGGGAAGGAACGGGGGGAGGGGGGCGGGGGCGGGTGCAGGTGCAGTCCACAGAAGGCACGGGGGGGGGGGGGGGGGGAAGGTTTGGAGGCTAGAAAGGAGGCCAAAGTGGCCCAAGCACAGAACGCAGAGCCCACAGTGTAAGACAGGGCTACACAATTAGGCAGGGTCCATTGTTCAGAGATTTGTAAGTCACATTAAAGATTTTAGCCAGTATTCGACAAGAATGAGAAGCTACTGAGAGCTTTTAAATGGGACAAAGAGGGTGACATGTGTTGGCGATGATGATATTGAGTGAGGATACCCTGGAAGGGTGAGTTCTAGCACAACAGAGATCTTCTCAAGGAGACCCCAAGAATACACCAGCGAAGTCCTTCCTGCAGTGAGTCAGCTCTTAGGAATTTAAACTTTCTGGAACTTGGAGGCTGATGCTTGCTTCTGCTTTGGTGATTCTGTAAAAGCCGGTGCCTCTCCAGCTTGATTCAAGCTGACCTATGAGAAAGGTACTCATGGGCCGGAACTTTTTGACTGGGGATAGAAAGGAGGAGACCCAGCCAGTTGGGGAGCTTGGCCATTTTGAATTCTTCTGTGTTGTTGGCTCCGCTGGCTGAAATAAAGCCCTTCCTCTTGGGCGGCACCTGTGGCTCAAAGGAGTAGGGTGCTAGCTCATATACCAGAGGTGGCGGGTTCAAACCTGGCCCCAGCCAAAAATTGCAACCAAAAATAAATAAATAAAATAAAATTAAGATGATTAAAAAAAAAAAAAGCCCTTCCTCTTATAAACATGGTGTTTGGGTGCCCTTTCTCTCCAGTGGGCTTCATCTTCCTGCAACAATATGGTCAAATAGTGTACAGAAAAGCCCTCCATGGCTACCATGTAGAAGTAGGTGGGAACACCAGCTGGCCAGGGAGCAGGCTATTGCTGTAATACCATGAGAGATAAAGAGGTGGCTTGGAGCAGGACAGAGACAAGTGGACAGACCTAGGGGAAATTAATGAGTTAGTCTCCAAGGCCTCTTGCTGGCTATGGAAGGACAGAGAGAGTAGATGCTTCCTAGGTTTCCAGCTTGCTCGGCTGGACAGCAGACAGTGCTGTTACCTGGGTGGGGGACCTGAGGAGAGGGCCAGGCTTGACGTTTAGTGGTGGAGGTGCTGGAGTGTTTAGGGGTAGGGGCATCACAAACACTCCCTTAGGTATACTGAGTATTAGTACCCTCTGAAACAATGCATTGAAGACATGAGTGGGTCAGGGACACATAGCTCTGGAGCTCAGAGGAGAGGTCTGATCCAAAGCAGGTGGGTTGGGCCTCACTAGCAGGAGAGTGGGAATTAAACTGAGTCTGCGTAAGGAGAGGGAGCAGAGAGGCTGGTCTGGGCCAGCCCCGAGGGCCCCAGTGTCTAACGGTTCGCTGAGGAGAACAGATATGCAAAGGGGCAGGGGAGGGGCAGCCTGAGAGGCTGAGAACAGAGGAGGTGGTGTCATGGAGGCCACCGAAGCTGCATTTCAGGAAGCAGCAGTTGGCTCTGTCTCTGCAGAGGGAGGAGATCAGGAAGATGAGGAATGAGAAGGTCTGTGAAGCTCAGCAAGATGGAATTACAGCTAAATTTAAATAGTGTTGTTTCAGGGGAGTGACAAGCTGGAAGGCAGGGAGGGGGTTGAAGAGAGAGTGGGAAGTGAGGGGATGGAAATATTGAGGGGGTTCTGGGACGGCCCTTTAAGGATGGGTTGATGCAGTTGTGTGCCCTTCATCCCACCAGGAATTGGAAAGTGACAGCTGGGCAGCAGCAGTGGCTGTCTCAGGGCCACAGGAGAAGCCCCAGAAACAGCCGGGCCGGAGCTAGCATCAGCTATCATTCAACTGGGGAGCTTTGTTTACGTGAGAAAAATGAATCCCATGTGTTGTTTGTGGCTGAAGATAATTGTAACGGGTCCTGCTTGTGTCTGCATTGTCTCATTTAATCCCCTCAGTTGCCTTTTGAGGCCGTGCTATCGTTATTCCTATTTTGCAGACAAGGATGTCAGAACATGGTGAAGTTAAGAAAGTAGGGTCATAACACTCAAGTGGCAGAGCTGAGATTTAGCGATGAGGTTTCTGACTCAAAGCCACGCCCTTCCCGCCTCTGCTGTGCTCTCTCAATAGCTGTTATGATTTTTTTTTTTTTTTTT